GGAGAACCTGTGATCATAGGACGTCTGCTGGAGCAGCTCTGGTGAGTTCTGAAGCAGAGCGGCAGATGGTCAACGACCAGACATGGTGGATGACTCACGGCCCGCTGGCAGCCGCCACATTTAGAGCTGACAGTTCCTCAGAAGCACATCGACCCGACCGTCCGGATCCATCCAGAACCAACCACATGAACCAGAACCAACCACACAAACCAGAACAAACCACATAAACCAGAACCACCCAGAATCAACCATATAAACCAGAACCACCAAGAATCAACCATATAAACCAGAACCACCAAGAATCAACCATATAAACCAGAACCACCTACATGAACCAGAACCACCCAGAATCAACCACATGAACATATGAACAATAAACTGATAAACATTCTTGTATTGATCTCTATTAGAACCGTGATGAGGAGCTTTCGGCCTCTGAAATCAACCCCCCTCCTCCTCCTCCTCCTCCTCCTCCTCCTCCTCCTCCTCCGCCCTCTGCCCTGCTGGACCAATCACAGCCTGGCGTCCCTGGCAGCCAATGGGATGGCCGGTGGGTGATGTCATGCAGCGAGCTGCTGTTTGGTGCTGATGCTGCTGAGCTGCAGATCTTCACTCTGAGCAGAGCGAGCGAGCGTCACTGCAGGTGAGTCCACGTCTGTGGTTAATGAGCATTTCATCACGTCTGTGAGCTTTAAAAGCCAAACACGCAGACAGATCACAGCGGCGTCTCTTATTTCCTTCCGCCTCTTTGTTTAAATCATTTAAATTATTTTCATCTTTTCCTGCGTCTCCGTCTCAGTTGCTTCTTTATTTCCTGCATCTTCTTTTTTTGTTACTCGTCTTTTTCTTCATAAACCGGTTTAGTGTTTGAGCTCCACTCTGCAGAAGCTGACAATGACATCATCGCTTAGTCGCCGCACACACACACACACACACACACACACACACACACACACATTCTGACACGTTGGGATCAGCTCTTAAATAGGCAGCAAACAGAATCATGTATTTATGATTTGCTTCTCTTGAGTTTCTCTTCTGAATCTTTATGTTTGTTGAGATTTGGACGTATTTGTTTTCACAGTTTATGATGCAAACGAGGCTTTGTGGTGCATGAAGCAGCGTCTTTCGCTGTAGTCTTCTCAGGTTGAACATCTGGATTCTGATGAAGGAATATGCTGACTTTTAAATCTAAATGATTTGAAGCCACTAGACGATGGGAGGGAACACGTAAAACCAAAAGACGCATCAAAGATCACAAGAAACTAGATATCTGGGAAACACATGTCACAACAAGCGCTCCATCAGTTTCTCCTCTTCATGTCACCTTCTGTTTGGTTCTTCTGTGGTCCCTCTGGATTAACTGACTGTGTCTCCTCAGGAACACTCTACCTCACCACAGTGTCTTCGACAGAGAGCCGCAGAATGACTCTAGCAGGTAAACCTCTTCTGATGGACTTCCCTCTCCTCACGTTCCTCTGCTTCTTCTGACTGATTCCCTGCAGGTCTGTTGCTCATCTGCAGCTGTTCTCCTTCTCTCTCTCTCTCTGAACGGTCCAGCATACAGAGAGAAGATGCGAGAGCTTCCCCTGGTGTCTCTCTTCTGCTCCTGCATCCTCCCCCAACGCAGAGACGCCTCGGCCGACCAGAAGGAAGGTCAGCAGCCCTCTTTAGTGACGCGATGACATTAGCTCCACGTGATGCTTTATTCAGAGATGTGATGGCGAAGAAGCCGGAACAAAGACACCGTGGGTGGTCTCATGTTCCCGTGTCCTCCTCCCAGTAGGCGTGGTGGACCTGAACCTGTGCAACATTCGCCACATGGAGGTGATCGAACTGAGCAAGCGGTCGAGCGGCCAGGCCTTCGAGGTCATCCTGAAGCCGCCCTCCTTTGACGGCGGCCCCGAGCTCCGGGCGACCACGCCGCCTCGCCAGAAACCGTCTCTGGAGGAAATCCAGAAGAAGCTGGACGCCGCTCAGGAGAGGAGGAAGGTGGGTGATGATGAGTAGAATGCTAATTGTTACTGTGATGTCTGAGAAGAACCATTTGATCCGTCGTTAATGAAATGAGGCTTTGGGCTTAATGCTGACATCAACATGCTGGCACTGCTAACACTGCTTAGCATGCTAATGTTTGCTTATTAGCTCCACAAATAACGCTAAGAGGGAAGATCATTATTTTTGCCGGTATTTAGTCATAAAAACAACAAAGTGAAGTTCACCCTGAGAAGAAACATAAATGTCTGTAGTAATTTCTCAAAACATCCATCCAATAGTAGTGATGTTTCAATCTAGCCTCAAGTGGAGGGGCCCACCAATCGATCCCTGAGGGACGCCACCAGTTATTTACAGCGTGCCAGAATTCAGGAAATCAAGACCGTGATGGAAATTAATTTAGTTTAATGCTAAATTTCTGAATATTGGTCATTCAAAATCAAGCACAGACAGAAAGCTCAACAGGCTCAGTAGATGAAACAATAATCTTCTGTCAAACCTGCAGAAGAAAACTTTGTCCTCTTTCTCCCCCAAGTGTCAGGAGGCGGAGCTTCTGAGGCACCTGGCCGAGAGGCGGGAGCACGAGCGGGAAGTTGCACAGAAAGCCCTGACCAAAGAGCGCCAGGAGCATCGCGCCGACGCCGCCAAGGAGCAGCGGCAGATGCACGAGAACGCCCCGCTGGAGCGACTGCACGCGGAGGTGAGCGTGCACGTGGTGTCGCCTGTATCACAGACGCCATTCTGCATTCTGTTTGGTGGGAATGAACCGCTAAAGGGAATTTGTCTTTATGTCTTTCAGGACAAGCACTGTGTGGAGGTGAGGACACAAAGCAGGAGGAGGGGATTCTGGGTAACCAGCCTGAGACCAAATTTGAGGGGAGCGTTGTCATGACAATGATGAAGAGCGGGAAAAGCGTTCTTAATGGAATAGTTCGATTTAGGACGAATAGCAAATATCGCATCTGCGTGTTAAAGACAAAGCTGGAGTCAGTAAGGCGTTAGCTTAGCTTAGCATAAAGGCAGGAAGCATATCTGTCAATATAATACACATTGTTTGTCTTTCCATGGATTGCAAACAGAATCTAAACGTGTTAGCAACGTGTTAGCGACCTGTTAGCGGTTAGTTGACTCCGCCCCTTCTTTCTGCCTCCAGGTGTCCTGATGGCCTGATCACAACACAAGCTGAACTTTCTTTGGAAGCCATTTTTGGAGGACTGGCGAGCTGAGGATTGAGTTGCCGGAGACGCCGGCCACAGACGGACAGGAAGAGAGAAGATGGAAAGGAGGCGGAGGAGGACCGAAGGCGGGTCAAACCCGCGCGACCTCCTCTTCATGACCAGGACTCTTTTTATTGAGATAAACTCAAACAAAACACTTCCACAGGACGCTGCACATTCATCACCACATCGCAGCGCCTCTTACCGGCTTTGTCGCCATGCTGCCAACTGTGCCAATGTACTTGTGTGTGAGTGTGATTGCACACGGATCAAGAACTCAAGTTGGACCAAACCAATAACAGGAACCGGACCTGAGCCAATGGATTTGGTTCAGCGGACCTGAAGAACCCGATCAGGCGTCAGCGTGGAGGAGTCTCTGCTTCCTGGAAACACACCGAGTCAAACAGCTTCATGTGCTGCTCTGGATCAGTACATTTACTGCAAGCCGGTACCACGTGGCTCCACAGCAGCGTCCAGTGGTACCAGACCGGGACCCGAGGTCAAGTGGACTCGGTTGAGACTGTTATGAGAGACGTGAGCGACTCAGTGACTCATTAACTCATTAGTCTGAGACGAGTCGGACTCGTGGAGGATCGTGTGCGTGTTTGTGCACGTTTCTCATTAATGTAAAGGAAACTGATGATGATGATGATGATGATGATGAAGATGATTCTATTTTAAATTCAAAAATAAAACAATGACTCTTTACTTTGTTGTTAAAAAATTCTTTTTAATTCATTTTCAAAAAAAAAATCATTTTTTAATCATATTCAGCTTCTGAATAAATACACTTACACATAAATAGAGTATTATCAATAAATACCAACTAAAAGTCATTTTAAATTAAGTGAAATCTTAAATAGAACATAATTTATATGAACATACATCCAATAGTTTTACTCTTCAGCTCCACAATCGACTTTGTCCAGTTTTCTGTTTGGAGACAAATAAAAGTAAGATGTCAAATAAAACAAATGGAATAATTGTCTCAAATTCTGTTCAATACAGAGCGGAAGAGGATCTATGAGTGATAATAATTGTTGTTTATATTAATATATATTGACTTCTAAAGTCAAACTTTAATCTATAACTATATTCTAATCATAATCATTATATGTTTAATATAAAATACCTAATAATGTAAAATAACTTCCTTAATTATCAATAGGTTTGTATTTATTCATCTCGTCCTACTATTTCAAACCATTTCAAACCTTTTTTCTATTAAACAATAATGATGATGATACGTTTTATAGACGTTTGCTCCACGCAGGATCCCACTCATTAAATCTCACCTGGCGGCCCGATCACTCTTGGTGCCGGATGACGGGTCGGACGCAGGTGCAGCCCACGGCGAGGAGGCGGGACTCCAGCCGGTAGTGGTAGCTGTGCCCCGCCCCCTCGGCCTTGACCCGGCGCAGGACCAGCGTCTGGTGCAGGATGGGTCTGGACTCCAGGCTCAGGTCCTCGCGGCCCTCCGGGTCCAGGCAGCCTCGCAGCAGGCAGCGCGCCTCGGACAGCAGGGGGGGGAACAGGGCGTCGTCCCGGGAGACGCTGAGGACGGAGACCAAAGACAGGTGTGAGCACGGGTCCCTCTCGGGGGGTCAAAGGGGCGGCGCGCTGCTCCTGTCCCCTACTTGTATGTCCACGGCGACAGAGAGGCGTTCTGCAGCGCCCGGGTGTGTGTGGGAGGAGCCACGGCGCCGGGGTCCAGCTGCAGGGGGACGGTCTCCAGCTTCCTGTGCCTCGACTGGCCTCCTGCTTTGGGCATGGCCTCCGTCGCCATCATCATCATCATCATCGTCATCACACAGACAGCCTGAGGAAGAGGACGAGACTCAGGTTCCATTCCAGTCGTTGATATCTGGGTTTTTACTTCTGACTACATGTGAAGACGTGAAGAATATTTCAGCACTCACGGGAACACATGGATTTTAAATGTAATATAAATAATAATATAGATACAAAATAAACATAAAAATACAAAATGACCCCCGAACACAGTAATTAAATTCAATGCGTTGCATGATTTAGTTTATCCCAAATAAAAATGACAATGTCTCACGTCCTGAGACCCTCCCCTCGATGAACACATGACTTCACACTATTCATGCTCGTCACACTTTAACTCACCGTTACTCTGGAGCAGTTTGCTGTCGTCGACATGCTGCCGCGTTGGACGTCTGTTCGTTCAGAATAATAAAAGTGGATTCGGATCTTCACTTGAGATCTTTCTGCAGGCTCTCCGGCTCCGCTGGAGGTTCAGGTGAGAAGTTGCAGATGTGTCCTCTGCTGGTGGTCCTCTTCTTCTTCGCTGGTGTTCTGCCAGACGTCGGCTGGAGCCCCGACCTTTATCCCGCTGTGCGACGCCCCCTCCGATGATGTCACCGCCCGCGTTCCCCTTTGATCCGCCTCTCTGAACCACACGCAGGTCGACCCACTTTCACACTTATTCTACACGGCGCCTTTTTTCTGGGTCAAAGAACCATGACGATGAACTGGAATACGATCAAAGCCTTAAGAGGTGAAGATCCAGCTGTGAGGACTTCGTATCTCCATATGCTGCTATAATCATTTGTTTCACTAATAACAACGTGGGTTTTGTTCTACCTGCTCAGGTAGAACACAAACATCTTCAGATGATTAAGAAGAGACTTTTAAAGCGTTTGGAGGTTCTTCCCCGAAGGCCTCTCGCCTTAACGTCCAGACTAATATCATTATATCTTCTGTTATGTGCATTTTAACATATTTAAAATGCTATTTCTTTACCTGGTTCAATAAGACATGAAGGTGTCAGAGACGCTTTAATGTCGAAGCCCTTTGTGACCATTTGTAATGTCTGTGGAGCGTCTTTGTATGAATTATTATACTATTATAAACCCTCCTTTCTCTCTTTATTTTGTTCCACTCCACTTTTATTTTTGATGATATTTGAACGTCACATTACATCACATGAAGTCACATGACGTCGTTGCGGCTGTTTGCAATGTCGTCGGTTTGAGGTCTGATGCAACAGGAGAAACTTCATCGAGACCACATCCTCTCTTTAGGGTCTCTCGTCTCCTAAGGGGTCCCTAGTCTCCACAGGGGGTCCACAGCTCTCCCCGGTGGGCCTCTCGTCTCCTCAGGGGGCTTCTAGAGTCCTCAGGAGCTTCTAGAGTCCTCAGGGGGCCTCTCGTCTCCTCGGGGGTCTCCAGTCTCCTCAGGGGGCTTCTAGAGTCCTCAGGGGGCCTCTCGTCTCCTCGGGGGTCTCCAGTCTCCTCGGGGGGCCCAGGAACTCTCCCCCCCTTCCGTTCAGAGTCGTGTGATGCAGGATGTGAGCGCCGAGCTCAGTGACCTCGTTTACCGTCACATTGTGACTCAGGTCGGCTCACAGTGCTGCATCATCACTATCGGTGCGTGTGTGGTTGTGCGTGTGTGTGTGTGTGTGTGTGGTTGTGCGTGTGTGTGTGTGTGTGTATGTGTGTGTGTGTGTGTGTGTGTGTGTGTGTGTGTGTGTGGTTGTGCGTGTCTGTGTGTATGTGTGTGTGTGTGTGTGTGTGAGAGTGTGTGTGTGTATGTGTGTGTGTGTGTGTGTGTGTGTGTGTGTGTGTGTGTGTGTGTATGTGTGTGTGTGTGTGTGTTTTCACGCCCACGTTTCCGCCTCAGCTCCGACCGGTTTGATTGACGGATGGTTATCGGTGACATCTGAGAGACATCCTGCTCCAAGCGTGACCTCAAGAATCTCATGAAACCCTTTGTTATATATAACATATATATATACATATATATGTTATATATATGTATATATATTTATATATATAAACTTATGTTTAATCTACCTGGGAGGTTTATTAGGTTCATTCTTTGTTATCAGGCTGCTCTTGTAAATCTCTTAAGCCTCTCCAGTTGATTCAGAATGCTGCAGCACGTGTATTAACAAGAACTAAGAAAAGGGATCATATCACTCCTGTATTAACTTCTCTGCACTGGCTCCCTGTTAAATCAAGAATAGGTTTTAAGGTACTTCTCCTCACCTACAAGGCACTTGCTGGTGAGGCACCGTCGTATCTTAAGAGCTTGTAACACCTTATTGCCCTACAAGGAGCTGCGCTCCATAGATGCTGGTTACTTGTTGTTCCTGTGGTTTTAAAAAGTAGGCTGGGGGCCAGAGCCTTCAGTTATCAAGCTCCTCTTTTGTGGAACCAGGTTCCACTTCCAGTCCGGGGGGCAGATTCGGTCAGCTCTTTTAAAGTAAAACTTAAAACGTTCCTCTTTGATTGTGCCTATAGTTAGGGCTGGCTCAGGTTAGTCCGGACCAGCCCTTAGTTAAGCTGCTATAGACTTAGACTGCCGGGGGACTTCTTAGGACACACCGAGCTCCTCTCTCATGCTCTCGTTCTACAAAAATCCACGTTTTATTAATGCACATGACTAATTCAGCTTCTTTCCAGGAGTTTTTGCCATCATCATTATTATTTTACATATTAATCATATTACTGTACTCGTAAACCAACATTACCCTCTCCTAAAGTCTCTGTGCTCTCCCTCCCCACAGGCTTCTGTGGATGGTGGTTCTATGTGATGGTGGTTCTATCTGATGGTAGTTCTATGTTATGGTGGTTCTATCTGATGGTGGTTCTATGTGATGGTGGTTCTATGTGATGGTGGTTCTATCTGATGGTAGTTCTATGTTATGGTGGTTCTATCTGATGGTGGTTCTATGTGATGGTGGTTCTATGTGATGGTGGTTCTATCTGATGGTGGTTCTATGTGATGGTGGTTCTATCTGATGGTGGTTCTATGTGATGGTGGTTCTATCTGATGGTGGTTCTACCTGATGGAGGTTCTATGTGATGGTGGGTCTATGTGATGGTGGTTCTATGTGATGGAGGTTCTATCTGATGG